CTGAAACTCACCCAATTGGAAGTGACATCTTGACGATGCAATGAACTCAGATTGATTTCTTCTCCTTCCTAAGCTTCTACGACGCTGTCGGGTCTGTCACGGTTGATCGACTGTGCTGTAAAGACACCGACTTTAAGAAGGCAACAAGATTAAGGAAAGAGAAGGGGAGAAAAGGGTGTATATGATAATTTTTTTATACAATTGTTAGATATAATTTTTATATATTATTAAAGAAATGAATGTATTTAATATTATAAGTTTTATATAAATTAAAAAAATTAATAATTTCAATGATATATTTAATTATATAAAAAAATGAGATAAAAAAATTACCTTAAAATTATTTTTTTAGTTAGAATTGTGCATAAGATAGATTATAATATCCATTTATCCAATATTACACAGATTTTTTTTCCAAATAAGGAAGGCTAATTATATCAAAAATGATATATATAGAATGTTATATAGTATTATAAATTTATGAATTTTTCTAATTTATGTTTTTAATATATAGATCAAAAATATATTAAATATATTTTTTATAAATTTATATTAAAAAATAAAATTAATATTTAATTATTAACTATTTAATTAAATTTAATTATTTGGTATTCATATTAAAATTAATATCAATTTTTATATTTTTTATAGATTTTTATACTAAAAAAATACACTTAATAAATGTCATAAGAATATAGATTCAAAAAGTTATAAATTTATAACATGGTTCATTATTATTTAATTTTTTTATTTAAAAATTTATATGTGATGTTATATATATTTAATTAATAATATGTTAAATTTATTTAATAATATATTATAATTATAATTGTATTATATAATATAATAACCATGATAATTATTTTATAAATTTAACATTAAAAATTTATTTTTTTAATACAACAAGTTAATGTAAGACTCTATCTTTAAAATTATTTTAAACAATTAGTGTCAAAATGAGCCAAAGATGATTTAAAGATCTTAATAATAAATTTAAAAAGAAAAAAAAGAAAAACTATAACATTTGGAATCATATGATATTCTGGATTTTCTTTTGCCTATATTGATGACATGAAGACAAAAATGGAATACGGTTCTGATCCTGCCACGCCATTCGGGCCCACAAAGTCAAAATTTTGACCGAAGTACAAATTACAGGACTCATCTTTCACCCAGAATTACAACATTGCCACTTCAGGCCGCTTGATTCTCCTGTATGATTGACTTGTGGATTCTGGTTATTGTAAATTTTGCTGCTTTTGTATGGGTGGGAAGAGTTCATTAGCACTGTCTTTGCTTGTTACATTAGCCTTTTGGAGTTACTGTGTTGAAAGGGTACTGCCTTCCACAGTCACGTATGATCATAATGCAGTACTGGTTATTGATGGTAAGCGGCGGGTTTTGCTATCTGGTTCCATCCATAATCCTAGAAGCACCCCAGCGGTTGGTTATGTCTATTTTGTAAATGCTCATGATAATTACGTTATTTACGTGGGGTTTCTTAGTTTTGTGATAGTATGTATTTTGAAACTTCAGGTGTGGCCAGAACTTATTCAGAAATCCACGGAAGGGGGTTTGGATGTGATAGAGACTTATGTTTTCTGGAACTACCATGAACCAGTCAGAAGACAGGTTTAACTTAGCCTTACCATATGCTTGAAACCTTATTTCATGTTTCTACCATTACCATTCTGACTTGGCTTAGTATAAAATCTCTAGTAGTGTTACTAGACTATCATTACTGTACTACAGTATTAACTATTTTCTGTTTTTAATTTCTCTGGTTGATTGACTAAAACTTTTCTGTTGGCAGTACTACTTTGAAGGCAGGTTTGACCTGGTGAAGTCTGTGAAGACAGTGCAGGAGGCTGGCCTTTTTGTTCATCTAAGGATTGGACCATATGCAAGTGCTGAATGGAATGGAACTATGGGTCTGCTCTGTTCATTTCAGCACTTTAGTAGTGATATTCAAATTCAATTGTTGTTTCTCAAAAGAGGTGACTGTTTTTTCTTTTTTCCTCCTTCAAAAGATCTGACTGGTTGCTTAGACAATAAATGTCTATGGGAATCACAGAATCCATTTTTTCTTCTTTGGCCCGTGCCAAACATTTATTAAGAGCTGCTGTCATAGGAATAAGTATAACTCCCTGACTAGCTTGATGTAATTTTGAAAAGATCTTTTGACCTCTTCTATTTTGTTACTGCAGCGGGTTCCCTGTTTGGTTACATTTCATTCCTGGAATTCAATTCCGAACAACAAATGCACCTTTCAAGGTATAATTTGAGCATTAAGTTGTTTAGTTTAACAACCTAAGACCTTCTTTACTTTAGACGCAGTATTGGAAACCTTTTTCTTTTCTTTTCTTTCTTCTTCTTCTTCTTTTTTTTTTTTTTTTTTTTTTTTTGCGGTAATTTGTAGCATTTCTTATGCATTTAACATGCTTGCTCAAGTGCTATTTCTGTTATTGTTACTGCAGCAAGAAATGAGGCGTTTTATTGCCAAAATTGTGGGGCTGATGAAGGAAGAGAGTCTCCCTGCATCGCAAGGAGGGCCAATTACACTTGCACAGATTATTTTACTTATATAGTACAGTCATTCTCCCTAAATTTTTAACTGTCATTAACAAATGTTAAGGAGACCTCAGCTAGTTTATTTGAATTCTAAATAAAAAATTAAAGTTTTGGCTTAATGTCCCATATGTACTGTAAAAGGTTGAGAATGAATATGGCAATGTGGAATGGGCATACGGGATTGGTGGACAATTGTATGTCAAATTGGCTGCGGCAACTGCTATCGGTCTTAACACAACAGTTCCTTGGGTAATGTGCAGCCAGCTAGATGCACCTGATCCAATTGTAATCTTTCTTGTATAAAGTCTAGAAACTCTTATTCTGTTATATAGAAAGCTGCATAATCTGGCACCACAAAAAAGCTTCATAATGAATTAAGATTTGCATGATTGACACAACTTTAGCTTGTGATGAGGTGTTAACTGATATGAGAAATTAACTGCAGATAAATACATGCAATGGATTTTATTGTGATGTATTTGAACCAATTTCCCCATCAAAACCGAAAATGTGGACTGAGAGCTACACTGGATGGTAACACTTCTTGCTAATATAACCCTTTAACTGAATATAGCTGATTGCATCTACTTATGTGGAAGTCTTACCATCTTAATTTGGCAATGTAGGTTTCTATCTTTTGGCTATCCAATACCTCATCGACCTGTTGAGGACCTTGCTTTTGCTGTTGCACGATTTTGAAACTGGTGGTACATTTCAAAATTACCATATGGTGAGAAGTAATGATCTCTGTTGCCTCTGCTCTGGTTCTAATAGGTAAACATGTAAACTTATCTATCATTCTGTAAACTGTATGAACATATCCCATTGCCATATTGCTTCTGCAGTATTTTGGTGGAACCAGCTTTGGACGAACAGCTGGAGGACGTCTAATTGCAACAAGCTATGATTATGATGCCCCAATAGATGAATATGGTATTATTTAAAATAAATGTTTGTAGTGAAACAGATTCCTTTATGGCACCCATGTTATTATGTTGTTAACCTAGCGAGCTAGTTGGATTGCAACATTTCATAATAGTCCTGTGGTGATGGTATCTATGATAGACTTCTTAAATGATTAAGCCTTAATTGAACACAAAGAGGTTAGATGTAGCTTTTCTACTCTTTTTAGCTACTGATCTCAAGAATGACAGATCAGCTACTATGTTTGTCAATATGGTTACACAAAGAGAATCTCTTGTCAATATGGTTATTCAATAATACTATGTTTGTTTGAAACTATGTTATACTTTGTGGATGTATATCACAAAATAGTTACTGAATGCAGGTTTTATTAGGCAGCCAAAGTGGGGCCAACTACGTCACTTGCACATGGCAATAAAGCTGTGTGAGGAATATTTGATCGGCTCAGATCCTAGTCACCAGCAGGTTGGTGATAAGCAAGAGGTATTTTAGATGTTTCAAATCGTGACTTTTCTATCTGTATAGCAGTTATGCAAGTGAAAATGTTAAAGTTCTTAAGTGCAATGCTCCTTACATGCATTATCATTTTTATTTTTTTAAAATTCCTGAATTGAATCCCATTCACATTTTATCACCTTTGCCTGTTGGTCTCCTTGTCTGTTTGTTTTTCAAACTTTGAAGGCACATATATACTATAAATCTTCCAAGGAGTGTGCAGCCTTTCTTGCTAATTATGACAGTCAACAAGATGCAAACATCACTTTCAACAGAAAGCCATACTTCCTCCCAGCTTGGTCTGTCAGCATCCTTCCTGACTGTAAGAATGTCATCTTTAACACAGCAAAGGTATGGTCATTATTTCTTCCAATTTTTTCCATTTAACTGTAATATCAATCTTCTAAGATCAGAGTATTTATTTCTATAATAAATGAGACTTTGAGTGTATAACATATTCATTTTTGGTTAATATCATAGTGCTACTGGCATCTGTAATTTTTGGTTATCATTTTTTTTTCTTTACAACTGCTTTGTTAAAATTCTTCCTAACTATGTTTTTCTTCAGTCAATGTTGTGTCACAAAGAAACCTTGGTGACAATTCATTTGCCAGTGCAA